AGGTCTCAAGATATTTGTCCTTGCCTCTCCAAATGGTTTGGTACTGGATTTTGAGGTGTATCAAGGAAAGAGCACATTCAGGGGCAAAAGACTGGGAGTTGGAGCTTCAGCAGTCTTGTGACTTGTTCAATCTCTTTCCCCAGGAACTTTAGTATTCTGTCATTGATACTTCACAATTGACCGAATGGATGTATTGCTCTCAAAGGGTCTTCCATCAACTGGAAGCATTATGAAGAACAGAGTGCCAAAGCTGTGCAATATACCAGAAGATAGGCAACTGAGAAAAGGAGGGAGAGGGACATTAGAGGGAGAGGGTGTGAAGAGAGCCTGAGCTGGCTGTCACAAAGCTTGATTCATTAGTCACTAATTTGTACATTTTCACATTCTTTAAATTCTGGCTTAGTTTAGACTGAAATTCTCCTGTTGTCTACTACAATGGACATACTGTGAAATTTAAACCAGTTTTGTATGGGCTTACAAGAGTTGCCTTTTATCATACAGAGGAAGCAAGTTGTTATAATGTTGCTCCGGCAAGAGCTTGCTTGTTCTGAGCCGTGCATGGCCAAAGCCATAAAACCCATTCACCCTGCCAGACCCGCAGTGGTACAAGAGCGCCCCTACTGGTAAGAAGTTGTATGTACACAATATATATCAATATATGAGGGAAGAAAAGAAAAGAAAAAAGACAGAATTGAAGACTAATTAAAAAAATAGCGTTGTATTTATTTTTTTTACTGTTTCTCAACTCACGCCCACGTGAAGTTATTACAGTAAGCACGGCTGGGTAGTTCAGGAAGAAGCGAACGCGTTTCTCATGCAGCAGTTTCTTACATTCATCATACTTTTTGCGCTTGTCGCTGAGAAGCTTGGAGTAGTCCGGAAACACCACAATGCAACGCCTTCTCCAGATCAAGTTTCCCATTTCGTGTACTGCCTTTGTGATGCGTTCACATTCTTGAAATCTCTCTAATGTGCAATGATAAGTCTAGGATGGGAGCACTGGTTACCCTGATCTGGAGACAATGGACCCAGTGTAGGTGTCCTCTCTAGCTAGCCCGCGCCCCTAGCTAGCCCTTAGCTAGGGGCGCGGTCCTCTCCAGCGCTCAGCTCCTCCTGTCGCCAGCCAACCGATCCCAGCAGCAGAACCCTCCGTGGCCACGGCCGAATCTCGGCAGCGACCCAGTCGCTCCTACTCCAACACCCAGTCATCCGTTCCTCGACGGCGACCAGTTGGATGAGTCTCAGCGGCAACCAGTCCTCTAGTCCTCCAGTCCTCCAATCCGCCGCTCTGCTGCCCCTGCACCTGTGATCTGTCCGGCTCCGTTTCTGCCTTCAACTGCACAGCTACCTCTTTATTACTGGCTTCCCGGCTGCACGCTGCTTAGCTAATGAAGAATGACTGTGCTGCTGCAGTGGGCGTCTCCGGGTATGAGTGGTAACGTCACCTCAAAAGCAAAACACAAAATCATAAAAACATGCGACACAACAAACCAAAAAAATAATCATAAATAAATCTAATAGGAAAAATAAATAACTTCAAAATATAACAAGGAAAGCAACAATGTAAAAAACATGAAATAAACTCAAAAAAGGAAAACGAGGCCACATTACTGCACAATGTTGAGGAGTGTTGTTAGAGTTGCTTTCAGAAATGCCACCATGTCATCCTTCACAGAATTCAGCAAAACCCAGAAAAAGCAAATCATTGTCACGCTCTCTGTTTTCCATGTCAACGATCTTTTGTCTCAGTATTTCAAAATCGGCGCAAGAAGCCATGGGGTTTCTCTCTTGCTTCTCGTGTGCGTCTTCTGAAAAACAGTCGGTCCTCCACTTCAGAAATCCGGCTAACAATGTCGGCAATTCTCCTCTCTGTTGCATTTCTTGTCTTTTGTATCTCTTCAAGTTTCTTGTCGCGATTTTCAGACTTCTCCACAAGAACAGCCGAAAGCTTAGCCAGTTCCTTCGCCAGACACACCTGAAGTCATCACATTCGTAGTATCAGAAGCTGAGGCCTGGTTAGCCTGATCCTGAGAGAGGTCAGCTGGATTAGGAGTAGCAACCTTGCCACTTTTACTTCCTCCTCCAGCAAAGCTGGGTTTAATTGAGTTTCTGGTCATCTTTGACATCTTACCACTAGCACAGAGATATCTACCAATATTTCCCAGGTGAAAAAAAGTATACTTTAGTATAATTCAAACATACTTACATTTGTGAAAGTACACTTTAAATATACTAAGTATTAAGTGTACTACCTATAAATATATCTGAAGTATACTAAAAGTATGCTTGTACCAATTTCGAAATTAGAACTTTAAGCACACTTAAACATAATTATACCAAAATACACTTTTAATATATTAAATAAAATATACTTTAAGTAAACAAAAATATATATTTGCCCACATGTAAATATACACTTGCTCAAGTATATTTAAAATATATTTAAAATATATTTTGTGTATATTTTAAAATATATGCTCAAAATAGATTTTTTTTAATTCACTAAACACTACTTTAAATTATTAATTTCATTATTTTTTAAATTACATCTTAGTGTAAATTTTAGGCTAAATTTGTTATAAAAGTATTACCGATTAAACTTTAAAAATTATGTAGTAATATTACTACATACATACATACATACATACATGCTCTACATGTTTTTTTTAAATCATCCAGTTCTTCCTTGGAAAGGGTTAGGGAAAGCATTCAGATGCATATAAAAAAATCTTCTAAAATATCAGTAAGCTCAGCAGGTGAGGTCAATATTTCTTTAATTTCTCCAAACAATATTCCTATTATTTTCTTGACATTTAAGCATCACTTCCAAAAGTCTATGTGGTTTCCACCTTAGTATTTATGTTCAGTCACATGCATCAGGAAATCTACTCTAACTGATCCTTTAATTCACATTGTGTAAGCTTAAATTCAAATTCTGTTTTGAATTTCCAAAATTCAATGCATTCACTAGTATTTGACACTGATTTTAACCGTTACTTTATTTTACAGTTACTTTTTATAATGGGAGCTAAAACAAATGGCACCTAAATAACAGCTCAAACAAACACAGGATTAGGGAGACTTCCAAATTTAATAAAGTACCCTAACTTAGGTATTAAGTGTTCAATAAATACCTTATGTAATAGTTTAATGTTGAACCTCCATCTGTTAATTTTAGTATGTTCCTGAGGAAATTTGATTTTATTAATAATAGGCTTGTGGTCTGGTAGGCTCTTTGAGAATTCTAACTGAAAACTGAACCAATTTAGACAGAGAGGACACAGTCTATTTTTGATGTCCTTTTATGGGGTGCTAAATAGAAAGTCAGTTCTTTAGCAGTCAAATGTAATACTCTCTAAACTTCTCAAATTTCTTGTACAACTCACAGCTTTTGAAAACGTTCAGTGGGAATGAGTGTTGCCAATATAAAATTTTCTCTCTATAGGAAGTCTACTCTCATGCTAAAGTGGATTCTCCTTTGGACCTGTCAACCACCTCTCTTCCTTCACGATGTATCAGCTGTCAATCTGCGGCAGTTCATTGGATGTGCAGTTCGGGAATTCACCTTCCTTGCCAAGAAGCCTGGTTGTGGTGGTTTGCTCATCACTACTGATGCCTGCTGGGGGCGCTGTGAGACATGGGAGGTGAGAAGCACAAAAACAAGATAATCTTTCTTAGAGTGAAACCACACAGATAATGTGGGACTTTTTTAGGATGTGATGAAAGCAAATTTAAGTGAGAAAGATATTCAGCCCCCTGGAATATAGCAACATGAATTAAGTTCATATTATTTCTGATACTGTCATGAAGTGCAATGTGCAGGTGGTGAGAGAGGCACCATAGACCCAGGTTGTTGAGTGAAAATGATGATTTTAATAAAGAATGTCCACAAAAGTTCCAAGTCCAGGCAGCACAGTTGAGTGAAAGGCTGAAGCTCGATAACTGGTAGCAACTGGTAAACAGGGAACACGTGAATGAAGACAAGACGGTAAATGAGACGCTTACTGAGACGAGGATCCGACAAAGACACAGAGACACAGATGACATGAACTCTTGTGTTGTCTTGCGGGTCAAAAGTGACCCAGTAGCATGTTTAGCTTTAGAAAAAAATACCCCAACCCTTTTGCTGACTTGAAATTTTATGACTTTTCCTAAATGAACTGCATCAGTACAAAAAGTGACACTTTGTTTTTGTTTATATTTCCATGTGAGCTTTTCACCACTAGGGTTCAAGGACTGTCTTATGGGTCATTTTGGACCTGTGAATTATAAAACCATTTAAACGCCAAAAAAATGTTCAACACACACACAAACTTTCTCTAAAACATACACATTTTGGCCTCTTGTATCCGTGATCTTGTTCTTTTGGTCATGACCCAAAGCTCATGACCATAGATGAGGGTGGGAACGTAGATCGACTGGTAAATCGAGAGCTTTGCTTTTTGACTCGGCTTTCTCTTCACCACGACAGACTGGTACAGTGCCCGCTTCCCGGCAGGCACTGCACCAATCCGCCCGTCGATCTCCCAGACAAAGCGCAGCCCTTTGTCTGGGCTATGATGATAAATCATACCCCTATGTTTTATCATCATAGGGGTATGATGATAAATAATGTTCGATTCAGTGTTCCCTCCCTTGGACGCGGGTCACTGGGGCCCCACTCTGGAGCCAGGCCTGGAGGTGGGGTACAATGGCGAGCGCCTGGTGGCCGGGCTTTTACCCATGGAGCC